AGGCTTTTCCAGAGGATGATTCAAAGTGGCTAATGCTTACCACTCTAGAGAAGCTTTTTTCCTCTCCATTAATTTTAGATGGGATTAGCCCCTCTGAGCTAACATTAGCCCAAGTGAATAGTCCTCTAAGTATTGTCAGCAGTGTGGAAAAAAACTCACCCCAAAATTATGCCACTTGATGTTAACAGCGATTTCTGATAACATAAATCTGGATTTTGTTCCCCCTTCTCTGGTCTATGTAGGCAGTGACTATTACCACTGAAATTGAGAGAGTGAAAACAGAAACAGAATAATTTAGGTTGAAAGGAACCTCTGGAGGTCCCTGGTCTGACCCTTTTCCAAGCAGGGTCACCCTCAAAGTTAGATCTTAATACAGTGAAATGAAAGGCTTTAAAATTATGAAGTGCATCCAAAATAGTTCATCACATCTATGGCAGATACTCTACTGTCAGAGACAGGCACTAGACCAAACACAGATCAGGCTGAAGGTACTTTTAAGAGTTGGCCTGTTCTCTCACACAGGTGTCCTGTGGCTAAATGCATCCTTAGCTCTATTCTACATGGTTCCACCCTCATCCCTGATACACGAACACCCTTCTCTTCCACTTGAATGCACGAGGAGTGAACCTCCTTTACCGTAGGAAAATGAAGACGATTACATAGTTTGCTGATAGAAGATATGTCGTCCTACAAAGCAACAGAATCTTGATTTGCTAAACTTCAGCACTTCAGCTATACAGCCAAGTATCAGTCCCTAACTCATTGATGTCCAGCACAACAGACACAGTAACTAAAGGTACACAGATGGAATCAGGCATTTGGGAAAGGTTACAATGAAAAAAAAAAAAAAGAAAAAAAAGGAAACATAAACCTCTTCATTTAGTAGTGCTATGTTGACAGAGCTCCTTTAGTCTGAGGTGCCTTGCTCTTCAAGAGTTCATTTAAAATGAGAGTGGAGAAGCAACAACAATAACTCCATTTTAAACCTGTTTTTCAGCCTTTGTTGCTGCCTTTCAGTGCTTGAGTGCCTTTGTGCATTTATTCCTGAGCTGGGCAATTACAGCCCTCCATTTTGCCCATCTGACTTGTGTTTCCCAATTTCACCTGTATTTCGTCTCTCCAAATAGCTCTGTTATTCATGGCTGATTACTAACCATTCTTCTGTGTGTCTGACCCGTCTGAATAGCAGAAGATGTCTCCACATGAAGTAGAGGCTCTTACATTCCACCCTCTGATTACACAGCAAAACACTTTTGAAAATTACATAGTAATGCATAAGTAATACTCCCATAAAACACAGCCCCTCATCCTGCAAGCCAGCTGGCTAAACCCAAGAGAGCTCACACATACAAGACCTCCAACAAGCTTCTGCCTCAGAAGCAACGCTTTACTGTGTCTAAAGTTTCCTCCTGATTTGTAACTCCTCTTACACAGAAAATGGAGAAGCATGTGGTAATTCTGCAATTATGTGGTAAGAATCAGCCATGTAACAACTGTACTTTCATCCAGAACAATGAATGCAATCACAAAGCAATTAGTGCAGGTGGCAGATGGTTTGCTGCTCTTTTTTTCTCAAGACTGTCAGGAAAAAGTCATGACTGAATAAGGGACTGGCCTGTCAGTGGTGGTAATTGAAGTCTGCTGCCCAAGGCAGAAACACACAGGAGAGATATGTGAACAAAAGCAACTCCGTCACTGAAGCTTAATGAGTTATTGCTCATCAGCTGAACCCCAGTAATTAACCACGTTCACCCACACACAACACCCAACAAACTGGGACAGAAAATGACTTCAGTTAACACAGATTTGTCTACCACTGAGTAAATCCCTATTGAACCAATCAAAAAAAGATCTGTAGTACTTATCATAGTGATAGACTCGGTGGACTGTGAAGAGACTGTGGGATGATGTTATGTGACCCATTTCCTGCTCATTACAACTGAGCAATGAGAGGCATGCGCTAACTGTTGGCTTTGCCCTCATAGGTCCTGAATTGGATGGAAAACTTCTGAGAACCAAAACAGACCCAGTGTGATTCCTGTCTCTCCAGCTCTTGCTTTATTCACCACCTGATTCTCCTGGTCCCACCTGCTGCAATAATAAGATGCAAATAGACGGCAACAACGATGTGGCTTGCTAGAAGGATGCAAACCTGTTTTCTAGTTGATTCTAAACTCCCGCTTGACTGTCAACAGCAAAATCAGAATCCAAATTATTCCTCACAGACCCCAACAACAAAACCTTCACAGGCTCTTCCGTCAGTAGCGACCAAAGTCAGTTATTTCAAAATGCAAACTCCTTACCACACAGATACATGTCCCTTGCTTCCTTGTGTGACTCTTAGTGTGCGCACAGTGCCTGGAATCCAAGGAGTAATGGCTTCTCTTTCCTTAAATACGGCCTTAGCACAAGATCACAAAATAGCAAACTGAAGTGTCATTTGTTCCAAACTACCCCACAGCTCCCACTGGAATTATCTAAATACCTGCAGGGCCTCTTAATTACTCAGAGAAAATGCTGCCTTTGGATATACAAGCACAAAACCAATGGGAGTCATTTACACTTATCCACGGGCTGAATTTGACCCTTAGTTTGAGTTACATTTCATTTAGTCCAAGCTGATTAATACACTTTGCCTGTTGGTCTCCCTCTACGGTTCTTGGCCAAAGCTTGTTGAAGTCAGAAAATGTATCCATCAGACTCATACCCACACAGAATATTTTAAAATTTTATTTTAGAGTTAATTGGTACAGCTCTACAGATCTTGTGCTACATGATTTTTTTCTTGCAACTACAGTATTGAATCACCAGCAGTTATCCAATTTGCTGATCAATGCCATAACAAAAATAAATTTTACTGTACTGCTTGTACCCCCTCGCCCAAAACATCCCATACACACAACTCCAACACCAACCCTAAAAGTTCAGGTTAATGCACAAAAGGGCCCTTTGTTCTTATATCTGGATTTTTTTTTTAGGATTCTACAGAAGAAGAGTGGGAATTTCCTATGGACTAATGACAATATACTTGCTGGTAGCCATCTACCATAAATTAGGTAAGCATTAACTGTATGGACTCTAATTCAGAATTATTTCCTAAGCAGGCTGACTACCACAACAGCTGAAATTCATTTTCTATCGTATCTTAGTTTCATCTGTCAAATTTGCCACTAAAAGTTCCACTGATCCTCATGTAATAAATTTCCTGTTACCAACACACAGTAACTTTCATTCCAAAAGGTCCTAAAAGTCAGCAGAGGCTAGATTCTGGTCAGTTTCACGTCAGTCCAGAGAATTCAGCAGCCACAAGGTAAAGGAAACATTTTGACCTTGTCTAATTACACACTGAACACACAGAAATAATTTACTGCACCTTCCTCTGGAACAGATTATAACCATAGTACATTCTACAAAATGCTGTGAGAAGGGTGAGTGGAAAACATTGCATGCAATTGACTCTATGGGAAGAATTAGGCAGGCAAGATGCATTTCCAATAGTTGGAAAGGATGTTAAGCTACTGACCTGGAAGGTTACTGGTTCTAGCTTAAAGCACAGGACTAAACTTCTATTCAAAAAATTCCCAAAATATATTTTTGTGACCTTCACTACTTACTTAGCTTCCTTATGCCTTTATTTTCTCAGGCTTACAGTAATAGTAACAACAAGCCTAATTTAGGTTACAGGAAAATTAGTTGTTTAATGTTTCTAAAATTAATTCAAATACACAGATGGAAAACATCACAGAATTCAAACTTTTATGTTGATAATTAAGTTAATGTATAATTCAGACAATAGTCTGATTATTGATTAGATTCAGATTCTCATATATTCATCATATGTAAAACAAAAGAGACCACTAAATTACATTGCATAAAAGCTTGCATACTAGATGCCAAGATATTTCACTCTTTTACCCCTATTGTGAGCTCAGCAAATTGTTTTTGTCTGGTTTTCCATTTTATTTAAAAAAATCAACGTCAGGATGTGCAATCTGCTGTTCATCAAAGCAGTTTGCCCAATGGCCAGTTACTTCACAGTTGAGCTTATCTGCCATTGACTCCTAGCTATCAACTCTTGTTAGACGTTTTTTTGCTAGATCAAAGTACTTACTCATATGTTTTGCTTTCCTCTATGGAGTTATTTATGCACAACAATACAGCTTCCCTTCAATCTGCTTTTCGGTAAATGAAACAGGTGAAGTTCTGTAAAGTCTGCCACTGGAAGACAACTGACTTGGAGTGTTGATGTGCCTGATTTTCAAAAAGTTCTAACAATGAGGTCTCTTACCATCATGTCTGTTCTGTCATCTCAAGTTGGGCAGCAAAAAAACATGGGAAATCTTGCAGCATATTTATTTGGCTGATGGATTACCCATACTGAAGGAACTGGACTTCAAAGGAAATCGATTCACTGCTACTTTTCTCTTACAAAATCAAAGGCTACTTGAAAATATACCAACTAGATAGGAACAAGGAGTGTCTTATCTTGTTCTTGGAGCTGATGTTAGGATGGAGCAAGAGAACTGTTAAATAAGAGGACAAAAAGCCTCATTAGAGGTTGTTATTCCTATCATGAAGGATCCTAGCTGTCTTCTCTGCCCATTGCCTGTCACATGATATTGCCAGAAGGACTGATGATCAAATGCAGACTTCCAAGTCAGTCATAGAGGTCTAGGCCCCAAGAACACAGTAGGTGCCCATGTGCTTTACTTTGCCCATTACTTTGAGGCTTACTCAATGTTTCTTGCTCGGAAATACCAGTTTGGTATTTGTTTTGGTGTGTTTTCCAGTTTTATTCAAAACCACCAAAATGTCAGGATGGGAAATCCAGTTTGGTATTTCCAAATTTCCAGTTTGAATACCAGTTTGGTACTTCCAAAGACTGTTCTGGTATTACCCCAAAGACTGTCCTGAATGCTCTGCAGCAGTTACTTTGAGAGATAGAGAAATCCTAGGTTTTTCCTAAGCAAACAAAGTTAAATGCTGTCAATGTTTCTTACCTTCTGATCTTGGCTGTATGCTAAGATCCAGTCTTCCTGCTTGGGGTGGAAGAGCAGACTGTGGATGTAGAAATTCAGACGGTATTTTTGATAAGTGGCCCCTTCATCAGAACTGATTAATAAGCTGCTCTCAACTTCTGGATCAGTCAGCAGCATAATCTATATGGAAGAGAAAGATGAAGAAACAGTGGTGAAGAGGAGTCAGATGGAAAAATAATTAAGCAGATAGGAACTTCAGATAAGCTTAATATGTTTATTTCAAAGTGTTTCAATGTAATATCAAAACTAAGCATAGCCTCTCTTTCAGTAAGGAAAACAGTATATTTCAGCTATGTATATAAACATAACATATGATCAAATAGGCAGAATAACTTTACCACTTGTTAAAGAGACCTAATTGAAGCTATGCTTAGGTTATCAGAAAAAATCAAACCTGAAATTTGTAACACCAGAGTGCAAACTTACTAAGTTACCAGACAGCCAGAGTGAGCTGCTGGGTCTCCATGAACAATCTACTGGAGTGACAGACAAAACATTAGGTGTTAAGAAAAAAGAGAGACACACAGAATGATGTCTAATGGTGAGCTTTGTTAGAATTTTCAGAGAAGATGAGAGTTTCATTGCCTGAAATGTTATAACCTGGCTGTCTGCAAGAAGCAATCTTGCTTTGGCAGCAGAAAACATTTGATAACGTGCTGGGTTCCTTCCATCTCCAGTTTCTATGGTGCTGTGAATTATAGATTCAGCAGTGTATCAAAAATAATCCTTGCCTAGCAAAGTTGCTTTCTAGCTTTGTCCATGAGTGTTAGTTCAGGAGTGACAGAAGATATACGACTTGCAGTTGTAGTAGCTACTTCTCCACATTAACTGTGGTATTAATTGGTCTGCATGCCTGATGAAATGGAGAGAATAATGAGATACTCGTGTCTCGGCATGAGAGAATATATAGGCTTGAGCAGTAGAAAGAGATCATTCCAGTACTTCAGCAAGCAACAAATACCCCTAAGGAACAGGAATGAGGCACCACAAATTACAAAAATGAAAAGTTCTGAAGAATATTTGCCCAGGAAAGTATTAAAGCCTTGAATCATTAGCACTTTTTTTTTTTTTTTTTTCTTTTTAAAGTATTGGTGCTGCTGTTGCTTTGCAAATGGCAAACACTGATCTGTTCCTGGACAAGCCTGAAACGAAAGGATCCACACCTGGTATTTCTCAGAGCAAATTCCTATCTGGGTTTGGGCACTGCAAAAATCACACACTCCATTTCCTTCTCTTTTTTTCATTTAGGCAGGCAGAGTTAGATATAACTTAACTCATCACGCACGAATCATAGGGCACCATAAATCTTGACAGATACCAGAAGCTAAAGGACTATTTGACGTGAAGGTGTAAATACACATGTAATTTACCCAGGAAATATCCTTCATTATTGGATAACTGCCAGAGGTTTTTATCTATTCCTAGAAAACCCCTTGGCAGCATAACAATTTGGCCTGTGACTTGGAAGGCTGAGGTTCTTCAAAATCACTGAACTTGAATATCCTGAGTGATCTGAGACCTGCTATGTTATCACACTGTGTCTCAAACATAAAAACAGGTAATGTTTCCATTGCAGCATAAAGGTACAGTCTCCTTTTGTATCTCTAATTAACTTATGAAATCTTGTGAGGAAAACATGCATTATTAGAATTAAATCAGAATTAATTTTAAAAATGCATTATTAGAATTAAACATTCTTATTTACATTTAACACTTTCAAATACACTAAGCATATCATTAACATGACTTCTAAATTGAAGACTGCATGACAGAAGCTACATGGAAAGCATTAATAGTCAAAATGTCAATATACAGATCATTTACTGTCATTAAGTAGCCTATCCCACTTCCGAAGCCAACAATTAATTGTGATATTCATCAGTCAGTTCTTTTCCCTTACCAGACTAATTTCTGGGACAATGTTCCTATGCTTAAAATCTATCCATTCAGTACTATGACTCAGCCATTATGATTTTCCTATTTTTATTACTTCCTTCTTGAGTGGATTTTGTTTATGTTGGTATTTGAAAATATCACAGCACAGCATTAATTTGGACCACAGAAACTAGAACAGAAATAAGCACAAATCAATGGGCTTGATCTGCACTCCCCGAAGTTAATAAGAATCTTGTCATCGACTTTGGATTGTGCCTCTAAGGCAAGTTGTTAATCAAGATCCAACTCCAGTCTCACATATTTCCTTCTACCTGCACAAAGAACTCATCTGACCTCATCACTGTCACATCCAAGCACATCATTGCCCCAACACATTTTCTGTCAGGCCACTCCTCTGAAGTGTGAAAGCACTCTTATCTCCATTTCTTAGAAAGGGAATCAAGAAAAAAACTGTTGAGGCACTGAGGCACCTAATTCCTCATTCAATCAATAAAAGTTAGGTGCTTAAACAGATTTGCCAGCACTGCTGACTTCGGCTTTAATCTGCTAACTACAACCCTGGGCTATTACTACTGTGTTTGGGTATCTATGGTCTTGAGAAGCCTTAGCTGTTGCATTGTGATAACCAGCCATTTTGTACATATGACTTATTTCAGGACACATTGGTTTTGCTATGTATGCCAATCGCAATAGTGTTTCAGATGCGTCAAAGCTGTGCAGAACTGCTGCAGATTTATGTAAGAGCATACAGAGAGTGAGAGACAGGGGAGGGAGTTGCCAGATTACTCTCTAGCCACTAGACAGATTGTTAACTATGAGACCAACTTTCAGTGCTGGGACAGCGTTGTCTGCTGCACTGTTGTACCCTGCGCTGCCAAACACTTTGCACAGATGCTGTAAACCAAAACAAGCTAGAGTTGACTAAGTCACTACTCTCATCACCATCAGAGCACCATGTTTCTTACAAGACAAGAAAAGCAAGTTTAATTACAACATATCTGCATGTAAACAAGAAGAGTTACAAGCCCAAAAGATCGCATTGTTGGATAAGAAGCAGAAATTGACATTTGTATGAAAAATCTGTCAAAACGAGAAGGAAATGCTGTGTGTATCTATGCAAACCTTTCCAATCAGACCAGGAGCGTGCTTCTGAAATGATTCCCCCAAATTCTGGGGGGAAATCTCTAGCACATCCTTACATACTATGTTCTGGCTCATGCAACTGTGATCTCAGAGCACACAAGCTGAAATTCCTTTCAAGGAAACTAAACCAGAATATATATTTCAGGAGTGCATCTAATGTGCTCCAATCACTACTGGATATTTAGGTCAGAGTATCAGGTTAGCACTACTCTAAAATCAGACCCTCTGCCTCCAAAATGCCCATATTGCAGAGAACGTCATCTCAACATCAACTGTTCTGTTCTACAAACCAAGCTCCACCGAGCTACACTATATGCTAATATAGTTGTGACCACATTAGCTGAGTTTTATTGCCTAAGTTGCCTGGAACGTAAATGAGAAAGGAAGGAAAGTACAATTAACTTTAATGTTTTTGTTGTTGCAGCATATCAAATACAGAGTAAACACACTTTTGAAATTTTCTTTGAAATAAATGAAGCCAAGTTCTGCTACTGACTTGATGCAGCTGCTTCTACAGAAAATAAAAGCATGGAAAATAAAACCAGCAGCAGCAACAAAATGAATCTAAGTTTAGAAGTCACAAATTTTAATATCTCAATATCGAAGATAAAAGATTAGAAACAAACTATTTTTATAATTTTCAACCTCACTGCATGCTGGATTTCTTTAAATGTGAGCTCCTCAAAGGAGTGATCTTGCTCAGTTTCTACAGTGCCTAATACAATATATTACTGCTTTCCCAGCTAACACCGGTTTCTGTACAAGTCTATTCTGGACATCACTGAGAAATCAACATGGCTTTTGCATGTGAAAATCACACCTTAAATCTATCCAGGTTGTTAGAGCCTGCAGGGAAAGACAACCTCGCTGATGAAGTCTAATAGGATTTTTGGAGGGCTCCCTTGCCAAAGGATCTGCAATTGTCATGGGATAAAAGGCATTCCCATAGATTCATTTATGGTTAGAAGATCAGCATCAAATGTTACGGAAAAACCTTTCAGTTTTCACAACGGAGAGAAGCGTTCATTTGAAATTTCACCAACGCTTTGTGGTTTTCAATTTGTTCATTAACAATTTGGAAAGAAGGAAGGAAAGGCAGGTGACAAAGTTTGCTGATGTCAGTAAGGTATCCAAAATGATGAAAACATAAGCCAGCTATGAAGATCTAGAAAAGGATTTCACCATACTGAGTACTTGAGCAGTAAAATGACACGTGAAATTCAGTAACAATATATTACAAGAAATAAAGATGGAGAAAAGTAATCCCAGCATAACAGACAGAACAATAATCTCCGAGTAAAATAATTCATTTCAGGAAAGGAGCCTGGGGGTTTCAGTGAAGAGGTCTGTGAAAACAGAAGCCCAGTCCTCAGATCCTATCAGAAAACCTCAATTACAGCAGCACAAATTATTAGGAAAGAATTAAGCAGCATAAAAAATAATGCAATTAGGCCATGGTAAACTGTTGGCACAGCTTTAACACTGGGTGCTATTCTCATCCTCCATCTTTAAAAAAAAAAAAGAAAAGGCTATAGCAGAGAACATAGAATAGCTGTTAAGAGTGATCGAAGAAAACTATGGAACATTTTTCATACAAGCAGCAAAACTATCCAACTTTCAAAAGAGATAAATGAGAGGCAATTTGACCAGAGTCTACGAAACTATGAATGGTCTGGAAATGCTTCATGAACAATTATTCACTCTGTCTTAATACAAAATTCATCAGCATCAAATGAAATTATCAAGAGTGACATACAAAACACAGGTGAGGCCATTATTTTTTACCTGGTTAAACCATGGCACTTATTGTTATAGTTTGTTGTAGATGTCAAAAGTTTATATAAATAGGAAAAATGAATAGATATTTTCCTGGAGAAAAAAAAATATAATAATCTATCAATTCAAAAATATCCCTGTTGGCTCAGCAATCTGAACCTCAGATTACTGAATTCTGGGAAAATATATAGGAAAATATAACTATATACTTGCCCTGATCTGACACTTCTCTCTCAACAGAAAGTGGAATTGGTTAAGATTCAGTCTGATTTAGCATGTATGCTCTTACATACATCACTGGAGAGTGAATAAAAATGATAAATCATAGCAACAGTATCAGCTCAGGTGGGCTGATCTAGCAACTTCTTTTATGAAGAATTGGGCCCATCATTCTTACCTTGTCAGTTTTTAAACCACCTCTGATTCCACCATTATAAAATAAAGCTATTAACACAAGAGTAAAAAGAGGCTTACATATCTGCGTCTCACTTCCAGCAGAAACCCTTAGTAAAGGGAGACCAAGCTCAGAGTGCCTCTGGTCTGGTTTATTGTTGTCTTATGTTGAACAAAACTGAAGAGTGAGGCTAACTCAAGACACTACTTCTCCCCAGCAAAAGTAATTGCTCTCTGTTCAGATCAGTGCTCAGCAATTATCAGAATCTGCTTACTCACGCCAGGCACAGCAAGCACACACTCCACTTCCTGATGCTTCAGACAGATTGAGTTTTTTCTCTGTAAATAAAGTCAATAAAGTCAACACAGCCTTTTGCAACCAAATGCAAGGCATCTATTAATCATCCATCCCCTGAAAAGAAACCTGATTTCCTTTCCCTAGAAGTGACAAATGAACACAAACCATAATTTATAGATCTTAAGTAGTCCACATTCTTTTCACCTTTTTTTGGTACTACCTCTACTGATGGTAGATTGTCCTTGACAGTTATGTGGGTTTTTGATGTCCTCACAAAGAAACCCAGAAATGCTTCACAAGAAGATTCTGATTTTGCTTCTAGAGACAGAATCATGATCCTTTTACAACTGTCCTGAATGCTAGGTTCAGTGGTTTAGTCAAAACAAGTCCAGAACTGCTCTCAGTCTTTTATTTTGGCCCCTCATGTGTCCACTTCGACCAACTATTCCCTTACCTTTTATAGGAAAGAGCACAATATCAGTGAAATAGAACAGTATGAAAAAAATACAAATACATTTCATAGATTCACATGTTCTTTCATTCACTTCTAATGTATCAACAGATCTGAATATATCACCTGACAAGAAACAGGGATGAAATGCAAATTGGGTCGAATCTGCTGAAAGAACCTCCACTTTCCTCACCTATTATATGCTTCATGCTTAGACCCAACACTGGTGACATGCACAGAAGAAGTAACATTTCTCACAGGAAAACAGAATAGTGAAGTACAGAAAAAGAGGAAACCAGCAAGGAAGAACAGAAATGTCCTACTGTTAACATAAGCAGGGCATTCCCTACTTATATTCTCTAAACATTTGTATTTTTTTCCCCATCTTCTCTGCATGACAGTTACATGATTTTAGTGAGTTGTGGGATTTGCTTGTTTTACATGGCAACTGACTGCAGAGTATCAGTGCCATGGAATCCCAGCATAATGAAATGTAATTTCTGCCACTTTACCTGTCACTTCTGATTGTGGATTGCCACTTACAAGGCATGAGGATTGTGTAAAGAGAGAATCTGATTCTACAGATTCAGCAATTCACACATGCATTTCAAAGCAATATGCCCCACTTTTAACTAATCAAAATAGCTTATTTCTTAAGTTTTTTCAAGACCTAGAATAAGAAATAAAATTAAACAAGCCAAAGAAAGGAACTGCTTTGCCATGACATTCTGAAATAAATGCAACATTACTGTAACGCAAATGAGATCAACTCCTTTTATAAGACTGAGTTGCTGGAAGCAGTAAATGATTGCAAGAGCAAATAAATTAGGGACAAAATTACAGGAAAGAAATAACTCAAGCATTTATCTGGATATTAACAGAGAAAGAGGAGACTGAAGCCTTTGTGAAGTTTAACAAGCTTTACTCCTGGGCTAACATCAAATGCTGTAGAATTGCGCTCATGAGTAATGCCACCAAAATTTGGCCCAAGTCTCTGCTTTAAACAAATTGGCTAACAGTATTAACACCTAAATGAAAACACGAAATGAGCTAGAGCTGACAGTTTTGAAGCTAATGCCAACTAAAATACAAGGTTAGTTGCTGAGCAATTCCATTAAGACACCATTAAAATAATACACCAATAATTCAATCAAGGCACTGTGAACTGCTTTATTGCCAGAAGTTCTTGTTAACTCAGAAAGTGCAGTAATTTTTTTTTTTGAAAGAAAAAGACTTCAGTGATAGAATTACACTTTCAACACTGAAGAAAAAAAAATGCAGCCTTTGAGTGATGTCCTGCT